CACACCCCACACACAAACACAACCACACACAACACAACAAACACAACACACACACACACACTATATATATATATATATATATATATATATATATATATATATATATATATATATATATATGTATATTTACGACCGTGTAGTTACGCAAAATGCTATGTTTGGGCACAATCAGTTATAAGCGTAACTGGCATAACTGGCATGAGCAAGGAATAAATGGCCCTTATCAGACTTTCTTCTCAGTGCTTTCGAGCTTTTGTAATAAGCATTCAGTTTCTTTCTGTAAATCACAGCCCATATTTCCGAGAACAGTCATACAAATTGCAATTGTGACAAGCACAAACGCTTACTTCGAGTACTAGTTTTAGGGATACCTTCTCCGCTGTCCGATAGAGCAAATTTCGAAGGTTACGGCTTGTCAAAGTTACACGACATTTGAAAAAGACACACAATAACGTTTAACAGTATTATCACATTAAAGGCATGCCAAAACATCACAGACAGGAGATAGATGAGGAATTGGATTCGCGTGCGTTTGTAGGAAACGCGCACACCCTCCCGAAGGACAAGTTTAAGACGCATTAAAAATCTCGGATATTACAGTGTAGGTCTGTAGATTGAAGGGAAAGCAGTAAAAAGGAGAACACAGCAGTTATTTGCTATTTGGCGTGGCTGTCGTCGCTACGAAAGCCGAATCATCGTCAGCGATCTTCCTGCGAAGCTGTTACGCGCACTGCGCGTAGGGGAGTATCTTTAAAATAAGACGGGGAGGGGGATGGAGCTCGCCTATCTGAAAGGGGAGCTCGCCTTTCTCTAGGTCTGTTTACGAGAACGCAGCGGGGAATGGGGAGAGTTGCGCCAGTTCTGACCCGTGAACTCCCTCCTGCTGTATATAACTGCTGAAAATAGGATTCAGATTCTGATGTTTGTAGACAGCTATAACGTTCAGCTTCATGGACAGCGGTAAAGTTTTGGGGAGCACGTCTCCGTGCTAAGGTAAACGAGTTCTGAATGAGCGCCGTTCAAAGGAGACAACCGGCCCACCCTGAGGCAAATTGTATCACATGGTGAGGAAAACTGAGCTTGTATTTTTTATAGAGTAAATTGCATCGCAAGCAAGCTGAAAACGTTACATGTAGACAAAATGCGCTTGCCTGTGCTTTTTCATAATCCGTCGTGATCGCGGCAAAACAAATTATTGTACCTCTTATTAATCAGTGCTTATTTTATGAATACTAGGCACCACCTCGGTTCCGGTGGCTCAAGCAAACAATGTGGACCTACATAGGTAATGTAAACGGTTGTCTGGATGACAGTAAGTCGTGACAATCACGTCAGTCGATCATTGATAGGAAGTCAATAACACATTGTCGGTACACTATATCAATGATACGACATACCCCATGCACGGTTGACACATGTACGAGTTGACATCTTGAAAGAGAGTTCGCGCCAACACGAAATCCTTTGGCTAACGGATGCCAAATCATTGGAAGTATACACGACACATGCGCTTCAACATCACTCAGCATAACACTCAGAAATGTTTAGCTATGCTGTAAGCCCTTAAAGAAACATTAACACCAATCGCTGTAGTTTTCAGCGATAGGCAAGATGCATATTTGTCACGCTCACTCCAAGCCACGTGCACGTGGGCCGGAGGTTTACTGAAATGCAGAAGGAGAGCCTGTGTGTCAGCTGAGTGGCTCAAGGCCGCCATCCGTCTGATACAGCTGAAGAAAATCACCTTGATACTGCAGGCACATGTCAGGTTTCATCCCACTATCCCTTCTGCATTGCCCAAAAACGAACTTTTACATTGCATGTGTCAGGAGGTGTGTACTTTGATGAAGTTAATTTGCTTTGCGTTTTCCTTGAAATATACTTGATAGAAGCGACAACAAAATCCTTAGAATGTCCTTCTTGGGAATTACCCTTTAGTTATATGCGTGGGTGTTCCTGAATGTGTGCCACTTATACGTGTTTTACATAAATGGACGATTCGAGCTCAGCTTTTGATTTGGAGGGCGTCAAATCTAGTGCAGCGTACGTGCTGACTGTCTCATTCGTTCATTGGCCCCGAGAGCGCCGCGCTCCGGCCGGCCGCTCCGCGCCTGAACCGACGCGCCGCCGGAGCAGCTGCTCATAGCCGCGGTGGAGACTGTCGAGAACTTCTCCCGCGACGGGTCAGCAGGGCCAAAACAGATCGCCGGAAGGCAGCCGCCAGCCGCCGGTCGGCCCCCACACGACACGACTCGTGGCGCGGAGGAGCCCGCAGGGTGGAAACGCCGCCGGGCACCGAATCGGCGCCGAAAACAGAGATCTGTTGGATGCGCGGTCCCATCAGCGCGATCGCCAAACTAAAGCCGCACCAAATGTTGACAACGGATCATGCCGTGCGGCTGATATTTTTATGAGCCTGCCCAGGTGCAGGCGAGCTTCGACAAAGCCGAGGCGACCCTGGTCCTGCTGCTCCCAGGCGCTCCTTTGACAAATTCCGATCGTCCCTCGCGCCTCGGCGCGTAAGAGCCAGAGCTAGGCGGTAGCGGACGGGCTTTGGACTTTGTAGACGACTGAGATTTAAGCGGGACTCGTATTGCTCTCCGCCGCGCGAAAAATGAGCCTTACCGACACGTGAAAAGGCCTGTCAGAACTCGGAGATGGCTGAGGATCGCTCACGTCCCTCGAGACCAGGGGTGACAGCCGTGGCCGACGTACAAAGCATAGCTCCTGTGGTTTCGTCGGTCAGGACGGTGTCGGCTGCGCTCGCTTGGAACCAAGGAGCCCCAGATTGCGAAAGCTTGGCATCTTCACCGTCGTCGGTTGCCATGCTAAAAAGGCGGTTTAAGCATTTTACCTCGCCGAAAACCGGCACTAGTCATCGCGATACCGCGGTGAGACGACCTGGTGGCCTGTACGGCATGCACCTTTTTCATCTTGTCAAGTCATTCATTCGCTTAAAGAATTTTCCATCTCCCGCGGCATGGGCGACTCTCGCATGACGTCACGATGACTCTGAAACTGAGGAATAGTTTTGGGTACATTATTACATTCAGTCAGATTAGCAGGGCACAAAAGGCGGCCGTCATAATGAACCAACAAGTCGCGCACATCCCTCCTTTTTAAGCTCCCGGGTAGTGGGAGGCTTTGGACGATGGCTAAGTGATCAGGCGGAACAGCGAGCAAGAGTAGCTCCTCTGCATTGCATCTAAGGCAATGCATTTTAAGTATAATTCCTCGACATGGCTTCAAAACTTACATGGGTAGAGCTTTTCACTTGCTTTTACGACGGCAGATACTCTTCCATCTTAAAAAACTTGACACGAGATCTAGTGTATAAGAAACGTGCACGGATAATCCATCGACACTTTTGAGGTACCACCAGCTCAATGACAGACGCAAATAAAAGACATGTGATGACATATCGCGACACAGCGTTTCCGCTCGCCGTTGATGAAATGACCTGACACATGATCTCATGATCAGCGACGTGTTGTGATCTCCTACAGTGGGACTGACCTGACTGGCAAGCGGTTGAACCAATCGATAAACTGCATGAACGCAACTCAAAGGAAGGAAGGGAGCTGCGAATTGCTGAATGTAAAGGTACAACTCGCCGCGCCGTCACAGATCACGTCATAACTTGGTGGCCTGACCGTAAAAAGGTGGCATCGGGCGTTTTCCAGCTGACTACTGGTGCACCTACCAGTCGGACGGCTCTGAGATCCACCGGTAAGTTGTAGCAGGCACATTTACCTGCATTGTGCAATTTATTTCACGTATTCATCTGCTCTGGTTGCTGAGCCCTTATTCCTCCACGATGCCCTTAAGCGTGCGGATGCATAATTTGCGCTCGAAAACGCGTGACCGCGCACCCACCAACCCACACTTTTGCACATTCAATTTTTCATTTTCCTACTATAGGAATCTGCTGGTCAGGTGTCACTGCGACACCGGGTTGTCGGGATATGCACGCTATTTGAAGTCCGCGTTCCTTTTGCGGGTTGAAAATTGCCAACTTTTAAACAAGAATTGCGATTCTTGTTGCTGAAAATTGGACCAATTTCGGATCGGAGGCCCAAAAGTTTGGCGTCTAGAAAGCGCGGCAACCGGCTAGCAGGCTGAGCTAAACATTTTCTCGCAGTTCAAGTGCCACTCAGTCGGCGCGCAACTTCTCCGACTGTGGGGACTCAAACTGAACCGCTCCAGCGCGCGGGATTGACTGATTGAGTTAAAATGAATTGAACAGATTGCTAGAAATCACTCCAGCGCGCCAGATTGGTGAGGCAGTTACGCGCATGCGCCGGTACCGGACTGGAAGGGTGCGCTGGAGAGCCGTTCATGCTCTTGCGCGCCAGCACGGCATCATGAACGTGGAGTGTTCACACGGAGCATCTCCCACGTCGAGCGTAGACGGGAGATCGCTCGTGACTGACAGGCGAGATCACCTATCTCATAGATTTGTTTTAGATCGCTCCTGCTTTGATATATCCGCCGATGTCGTTTACGAATACCCGCGCGGCAATGCAGACATCCTCTCATTCACACATATTTGCCTTTTTGCTAGCCATTTGGCTGTAACTTTCCACAGTGTTCAGTAAACTTGCTCCACAGTGTCCATCATCGCGACAAGGAGTCCATAAAAGTTTTGGGAGACACCCTTCAATCCCAATGTGACCTCCGGTTTTGAAGAGGTCATATCCCTGTAAAGTCATGCTATGTTACAAGAACAACCATTGAGAGAACCTGTACGACCGAATGAAAACAAAGGTGTTGACAGCAAACTATTTGTGTGGCGTTAGATCTGTGTCACAACATATTTGATTTAAATTAAAAATTCAAATAACATTAATTAGTTACTTCTTCGTACCATGTGCACACCTACAACTACGACCGTTAGTGAAGATAATAACTTTGCTCCACACAGTGTCTGCTGATCACACTCATGCCACAGGACTTTCTTACATCAAATCACGCTGTCGCCTTTCTCGTGGCCAACTCACCCCTAACCATACGCAGTGCGGAGCAGGAGTCAGCCCCACAACCAGCCGGCGTTCGACGAGCCGGACCCGCCAGCGGCCGCTGGCCACCTGCGGACGGGAGCGCGTGCTCCCACGCCGCCTCCATCTCCCACTCCCCTGCAACAGCCGGACACCGGGCGCCACCGCCTCGGACCACACCGTCGCCCCAACTGAGAGGGCGGTCGGCCCCTGAGCCTCTGAGCCGGCTCCGTGCCATTCACAGCCGGTGATACACGCCGAAGCTACAAACAATCCTCCACGGATGCTCAGCACCCATTCTCTCCGGTCCACAATGCGTCGCTGCTCTGTCGGCACCAAAGGCCGTCGCCGCTTCAGAGGGCGCCGATTCAGCGCGCGCCGACCGGCAGCCGCCGCGCCGCGCCGCGCCCGCATTCAGCGATACCTAATCTTTTTATCCGAGTTGTTGCTCCTGATTGAGCCATTCATGTGTAATATCCGCGCACGGGCACGCCGCGAGCGCTCGGAGGTGCGACGCTCGGAGGGAACGTGTCGGGCGCACCGGAGGCGTCGGGAAGGCGTCCGGGAGTCCCGAGATCACCCGAGGACCTGCCTCAGTCCACTGTCATCTGGGGGTCTGCTTCGGTCCACAGTCAGCTGAAGGCCTGCCTCAGTCCACAGTCAGCTGATGACCGACCTCGGTCAGGGGTCAGCTGAAGGCCGGCCTCGACCTCAGGTCATCTAATGACTTGCCTCGGTCGGTACTCATCTCAAGGCCTGCCTCGACCTCAGGTCATCTGGTGAGTTGCCTCGGTCGGTACTCATCTGAAGGTCTGCCTCGACCTCAGGTCATCTGGTGAGTCGCCTCAGTCGGTACTCATCTGAAGGCCTGTCTCGACCTCAGGTCATCTGGTGAATTGCCTCGGTCGGTACTCATCTGAAGGTCTGCCTCGACCTCAGGTCATCTGGCGAGTTGCCTCGGTCGGTACTCATCTGAAGGCCTGCCTCGACCTTAGGTCATCTGATGAGCCATCTCAGTCGCCGGTTAGCCGAGAGCCTTCCACGGTCTGGGGTTAACTGAAGGCCCGCTTCGGCCTCAGGTTCAATTACTGTATGGTTGTTCTTGGTTCGAAGGTTGCATTCTGAGCTAATATTTCGGTTGTGTATTTTAACTACCAGTTGGTGATTCCTCCCGATTGTTTGGTTTTTAACGTGATGCAGTCATGTGAGCTGGCAAATAAAAAAAAACGTTCTGGTCTTAATCCACACTTTGGTGGAGATTTCTGATCCGGTCCAATCCGCCCCGCGGCTGATCCATTCTCTGAAGTGTTCTGTCCCTGAGCTTCTGAGCCATATGCTAGCGAATGTAAGACATAATCTACCCCCTGTCAAGGTGCAGGCAGGAAGAGATAGGCCATTCAGACAAATATCATTCCTATCAATACCGAGAATGGAGCCTCAATGGGCAATCTACGGAGCTTGTTTGGCAGTGGCGACACCGCGGAACAGCACGCGCGGCCAATGTGTCAAGAGTGTTGCCATATACGACGATTCAGTGACCACCCGCGGCTGTCTAGGCGGCAATCACTCAGCCATTGCTCCGACCGGTCACGCCAGACCCCCCACCTCGCGGTCGGGGTCCGGTCAGCCGAGCCCCTAGCAGACCGCCGCCACCCGCCTCGTGCTCGTTATCCAGCATAAGTTGGCCGAGCATTGCGTTTAAGCCGCTGAATGAGCCCTAACGAGGCCCGATAAGACCGCCAGCAAATGCGCGTAATTATTCGTAGCGCAGGCTAAAAAAGACAGCAGCAAATCACCAGTAATGGCACGAGGCGGTGCCATAAGAGAACAATGAAGTTTAAGCAGTAATGTCCATGCCCCACAGTGTGTCTTCAGCAGATAGCGTCATGCATTGGTGCATTTAGGGTGAAATGAATTAGACGGCGTATTTCCCCGCAAATGAGTGTCGATTTGCTGCTCATTTTCTGTGCTGGTTCGGCCATTTCTGGCCGTTATTAGGCGAATGAAAGCCAGCAAGTAAAGCGTGCCGCCAACTTTGAAAGAGAATACGGACAAAGACAAGACATGTTCTGAGTGAGCTCAGCATCGGACGCAAAGTCTCGTGCGCGTATAACCGTGTGATCATCAGATGACGTGACATTTGTTCCAATAGAGCTCCCCAGGCGTCAACAAAATCAGCAATCAGACAAATACGCGCATCTCCACATTCGATTCGGTGAGGACCGTGCCAACGCGAAACACTGTCCGACTCGACCGGCGCCTCTAGCTCCGGGACCGCGCGGAAGTTAATTAATTGCAGCATCAGGTTTATTAATAGCGCATTCAACTCGTGTTACAGTGCACAAATGTGACAAAGCCAAGACGTTGCCCAGTCATAGTGTCTATGATTCGCAGATTCGCCGCGGCCGGCCGGCTCCAATGTGGCGCAGGGCCGACCCGGCGCGGGGCCGTCCCTGCCGTCATTTATCACGTCACCTGGGCTGCCGAGGTGGGCGAACGCTCGGGGTACCGGCTCTGACCGGGGAGGTCGCTGGGACCTCCCGGAGAAGCCCGCAGGTCCCGGGGCGCTGTGGAGCTGGGGGCTTGAGGGGGGGGGGGGGGGGGGGCGGTGTGGCAGACTGCAGACTCCTGCGGGAGGGATGGGACTGCAGGTCTCGGTAAGTGGCGATGGAGGTCTGAAGGGGAAGGGAGGAGGAGATCCGGTGCATCTTATCATCCAAATACCCCACCGCGAAATAGCCAGGTCCTCCTCTTCTGCCAAACAGATTCCAATAGCAAAACAGCAGACATTCTTCAGCAGGTGCGCAATTTTCGCAACATTTTAGTCGCAACCCATACCCCTCCTTCTCAACGTACACACACACACACACACACACACACACACACACACACACACACACACACACACACACACACACACACACACACACACACACACACACACACACACACGCACATAGCTTTCCCCAGACGTAGGGTCGGTATATCATTGCCCTTTACGAACTACGTCGGTCTGCGCCAGGATGATTTGTCATTGTAGACTGTATTCAGCAAAGCCGGCTTCTTTTTGGCCTGAATGGATGCCCGGTCGCCGGTGGAGCGGAAAGGCACAGGGAGTTTCATTAACTGTCCATTTATCAGCTGGTGGCCTGCCCTAAATGAAGTTTTGCCAAGGTCAGGCTCAGGGAGCGTTTTTACCACAGGCATGGTAAGATCATAACTCTTCATCAAACATATCAAACCAAAACGTCTCAAGGCTGCGGATATGCCCGAGTAGGTCATATGACAGTAATCGATGTTCATGTCTATGCCCTCATATTATACTATATCTGTATGACTTGCATCATATATCTTCAAGAACCATGTTGTTCGAGAGCACGTGCAAGAGAGCGGCACACGGATCCACACCCTTCCTTAACAAACGCAGGACCACGGCTACAGGTGAAAAAATGAAACGGAGGCATCTGTTTAGCATCGATTTTAACACGCAAAACACGTAATACCAGGAGCCCGAAAGAAAAGACGATTTAGCATAAACTGGGTCTGCAGCGGCCGTTCCCTTTAAAATGGCTTATGAATGGTCCAGTTGGAGGTACCCTCAACATGGGCGCGGGAACTAACTCGGGGCCAGGAAGGGATAGCGGTTGGGCCCCCTAACTTTCTGAAAATTGAAATTGGATTGAAATTTTGAAGATTGAAAACTTGAAATTTCTGAAAACTGAAAAAGTTTGATCCTAAGCGCCTTGACTGGAAAGAAATAGCTAAAAATGATCATTGGCCTCTGCCCAGTTTGAGAGGACCTCCACTGCCCACACCTATCAAGATCGGGCCCCCTCGAGGGTATCCTGCGTGCGTACCCGCTAACGCTAAGTGGGCTGCACGGCTGACGGCCAGGGGAAGGACGAAATGACCCCGTGCGGGTGTCTTGTGGCTGTGTGCAGTAGACCTTTGACAGCCCTAGACGCAGCACCTGGTCAACACCTATACAAGCCTAGGCAAGATGAGTAACATGCTGGCTGACATCCCAGCTCTATGGAAGGCCTGCTTGCTACACCGTCAGCTGCATATGATTGATGTCTTTAGCAGGCCCTGGATTGACGTGATGTCTTATGCATTGGCGCCAACAGCATATTGTGTATTTGCAAAAACATGCAATTTATCCTGTCATGGCTCACATTTTCAAGACAAGGCACATAACAGGGGAGCAGCAGGAAGACACGTGCACACAAATACCATTCATTTTTAGAAGCACCGTACACTGTCACTCGCTGAGTGTTTTGAGTTAGACTGCCGTGCTGGGCGGATGCTGGACGCAGCAGCCTGAGCCCGACAGCACCGTCAGCCGTTCACGCTGACGTCCGAAGGAGGACAGACATCGCGTCCGTGGGTGTCGCCGCCGTCTGCCCGGCAGCGCGCCGCCGGCCGAGAGCCGCCGGGAGCGTCGCCGCGCCGCGATGGCCGCGCGCCGGCCGTGAGAGCCGGCCGCGGCGGAAGCTGCGCTGAATGGCGGCCGATAAATTCCAGCGGGGGCCGTCTCCCGCCGTCCTGCGCTGAATGCCGCGCGCCCGGCCGCGCGACAGTAGTGGCGCGGATGACGGCCGCGCACAATGCGGCGCGCTCCGGGCCGGGCCGCGCGCACAGGTGGCCGCGCCGCCATTGTCGACCGCACAGCGGGGAGGGGAGGGGTCACCTGGCCTCCGGACGCACGCGCCGGGACCCACATAGCGGCGATGGATCGGTCAGAAGTGTATGGCCGACGACCGGGGGGAGGGGGGGGGGGGGGGGCGACGGTCGCGGTCTTGAATGAGCGGCCAAGCGCTGATCGATTGTCCCCAACACTGTTGAATGGACCCCAGACCATTCGGCGGGGTGAATGGCGGTTTTTTGCCCATGATGACCGGTGGTTCCACGACGTTCGTTTTTACGGTGCTCCAATGCACTGGTTTGCGATAAGGCTTGTTTGATAAGCGCCGGCTCTGACAAGGAGCTGTTTGATGAGCGGGCGCCAGAGCTCTGCGAAGCGGACCGACGGAGCCACGCCCTCTGATGGCGTTCTGTGGCACTGCAGTCTTCAGCGTCGGCGGCTCTCGTCCATGAGCCTCCCCGTGGTCTCAGTACTAATGTGGATCCGTATCCAGCGGCACTCTGGGTACAAGTTTCCGAACTGGTGTGCT